CCCCAAAACCCCAAAACCCCAAAACCCCGTGAGTGTATATAAGATGGTTTATGAAATCAATGTAATAACGGTAATAGTCAAATAAAGCTCAAATTATGATCATAGTTTTTCAAACTTAGATTGTTTAAGTTTCTGGAATCCTATGTATTTAGTCTATTGTTATGGCAATGCACTATTGTTATTATAATTATCAATTGATTAATTAACTGTCACTATGCTGCTATTATGATCAGTTAGCTAGAAGTCAAGTTTTATTTTGTTATTTGTTCCTCTTGTTGAAGGCATTTATGAAGGTAGCAAATTAGTATTGGTTTTCACAGAATGCTTAATTATATTAACCTTGCCTGTCTATTCGTCATTGTATTAGGTTGATACATCATCCATTCTAAAATTCTCAGCTACACTATAGGGTCTAATTGCCATTAGCTTTCTAGTTTTATAGTTGTTTATAGTATTTTAGTATTCATTATCTTTTGAATGAGCCTCTCTTTTATTGAGACGGGTTTACATATACTATGTGGTTGCTCTCTACTAGTCAGGTGATACAGGCTGAGTTTATGGTACAATAGTTCTATTGAAGAATGTCCTCTTCCCTGAGTTAATAGGCTAAGCAGATTGATTTTAATTTGGTAAATTTAATTAGAGCGTACTTTATAAAAACATGCTACGCTCATCATCCAAACCCGAAGTGTTATTAGTTTCAGCTGATTATAAATTGGCCCTCGGCGTCATTGCATCTTTAAAAGCGTCCATTCTATATAGTTCTAAAATTTATCTTGCCTTAAAATTTAATATATCCTCCTTTGAATACGACTGAGTCTTATAGCATACATTTGAAGGCCGATACTAGAGACATGCTATCTTAAACTATGAGTAAAGTATAGCTCTATCACCAGATTAATTGCTACAGTTAAGGCATTTGTTATCAATTGAGACAATTGGCTACCCTTTATGGTGATTACCTGCTCCTTAAATTTGTGGCTGCTAACTAACACTTTAGTCTTAGACTGAAATAGAGTTTTGATTGGCACTTTCCTTCATTCCAATCAAAGCAATACTATGTTTGTCTCTCTCTTCTTAAGCTTCAATTATGCTGCTCATTTGCATTATATCGCTTACTTTTTTAGCCCATTTTTAGAATTTGATGAATTACAGATTATGACTTTCGCTTGTATTCGCAAAAGAACTGACAAGCTCTCTAAGCTTTTTAATCTCAATTTAGAAGTCTGTTCTTTCCCTTTTAATTCTTGAGGTTTCATCCATCAGCGACAACTTGACTTCATACACTTGTTCATTTTACTTCTTCAATTACATGCTTATCTTATTTTCTATACTTGCAGTTGCTTCGACTATTTAAAGTTAAAGAGCACCCTTGGCATTATTCAAATCTAGTTTCAGCATCTCAACTTAGTGCTTAAGAGTATCTATCATCTCTGAATAAGATGATGCACTATCTGAGCCAGATTCATACGATGACCCATTTGCGGAAGAGTTTTCTCCCTGTTCTAAAGCTCTTTTGAAAAAACTATCATCTGAAGAGCCTCCTTCATAGTTAGGGTCATGTCCCATCTTTGACTTTCTTTTCATTATCTCCTTTTGCTTTTCTTTTAATGCTTTCTTAACCTATTTAGAGTCTTTTGGATTGACTGGTTCTAATATAAATTCTCCTCCATCACTTTCCTCATCATAATAATCATCCTCTTCTTGTTAGTCTAATAGTTCTTCATCCAGCTCTTTGTGTCTTTATTCAATTTCATCTAGATTATCCTTATTTTTACCTTCAATATCAAAATCCTTTATCGAATTATCGAATTTTGAGCCGATTCTAGAGAATTTTTCCCTCCTAGACTGCTTTCCTGAGTCTTCAAGTCCATTTATTTTAATGATTTGAGGATTTTAACTAACAACAGGAATAGCGTAGGCTTGTGATATCTTATTAACTAATTTATCAACAATTGAATTGGTCTTATCATGAGTTCCTAGGTTTTAGGATGTCAGTGATTTATTCGATGGTGATTCCTCTAGGTTGATTAATAACGATGATCTATTTTAGACAAAGTTTCGCTTTATCTCTTAGATTTTTTAATCTTGTTGATTTTAAGGCTTTATTGGACTGCTTAGTTCCTATGAAATAGCTACTTCTTCAATAGCTGTATCGAATTGTTCATGAGCATGATGGTTAGGATTGTTAATCGGGGTCTCAAGATACATTTTCCTTTCTGTTGTTCCTTATCCTCCTGTGTTTGATTCTCCTGATTTTTATTTCTTGCCAACAAATGAACTTCTTCTGCTAGACTGTCTCACAATTTACGTCTTAGCTTAGTTAATTTCAGATTCAAAGTGCTACTGAACAGCCTTTTCTACTTTGCTTCTGAGTTCATCAGGGTTGTTGATTATTATAACTGTCTTTTTTGTTTTGCTTCTTTAAACCTAACTTTGAGAGTCTTCTTCTGCTTTTGTAGTAGATTCATTTACATTGTTCTTTGTCTTTTTCGATCTTTTATTTGAAATTCTTGTTCTAGGACTCACCTATTTCCCACTCTCATGAGTTTGCGGCATTTTCATTTTATTGGGGTTTACCTGGTCATCAATCAGAATGGGCTTTTAGATATTATCCCTTAAGATGTTTTGAACTTTGCTTTTACTAGATGAGCCAATAGATCGCTTGCTACTTGAGTCCTTTTTCATGTTTTTGCTAGCACCACTCGAGGAAACTTGTCTTTTGGAACCCCCAGTTCCCTTTGTTGATTTATCAAAGCCTTTGATCTTTCTCTTGGCATTATCAACATAGTCATTATTGTTCAGAGCACTAAGCATACCTCTTTTTGGAGACCTATTGTCCTGATTGCTTGAATCATCTTCATTTATATCTTCATTAAGCATGAACGACTCTCTACCTGCAGGTCTAATGGCTTTTCTTCGATGATGAAGGACAAAGATCCTTTAGTTTTCATTCTTTGTCTCCAGCGTGTTTTTTGTCTATTGAGGACTTTCATTACTCATAGGCACACTCGACATGCTAGCATTCATATTTTTATTTGTAAAGCTTATATTATTGATTGAACTCCTCATAATAGTTTGAGGGATCTAATACTCTCCCTTTTTAAAGCAATAATCCCCTGTATATTAGGCGTCCAGTTTAGAGTTTGTTTCCAGGACTGCAAAGATAGTCTGGAAGTTCTCCTTTAACTTAGGTCTAAGTTTAGACTTGAGGTTAGTGTTAAGAACTTCATAGACAAAAGAGGATACTTGAAGGGGCAGGATCTTTTGCAAATGCCTGTCTGTGTTCTGAGACCATTTATTCAACTCATGTAATTTAGAGTTAAACTCTGTAATGTTCTCATTTATAGACTTCATATTAATTTCAGCCATATTGAGTTTCACGTCAAACTTATTCATCTCTTAAAACTTTTGCTTGTTGTAGCATAGACTAGTGTAGACCTGCTCCCCTAACTCCTAGATTCTTTCTTATTGAACCTGCATATCATCGTTTATCTCCTTGTTAACTCTAATTATATCATTATGAAGACTTTCCTTATTCGTGCCAATCTCATCAAACAAAAACTTGATCTCTGTATTCCTCTCAATCACTTGGTTTTTCTACAACAAATTCATATACCTTTAAATGCTTACAAACGTGCTAACTTCGCTTTCCATCTAGCCTAGTTTTTCCTTAAGCATGTTCTTCTGACCATTAATAGTGGCAATTTCATCCTTGAGTTTCTTCTCAATCGCTTTCAACACTTGATCATTCGTGTTTAGCTTTTTGTTGCAGTCGATGAAGAACTCATCATATTTTTTCAATCAAGTCACTTGCATCTTCAGGTCATCGATACTTTTCTAGTTGTTAATCAGGTTTTCCTTTATGTCCATAATCTAGTCCTTCGCCTCAATCGTCCTTTATTAACAGTTAGAGCGCTTGAAGATTTACCTTTTAGCATAAGGCGTTACTAAGTCATGTATGAAAGTGCGGATTCTGTTCTCAAGATAGAACCAGTCCATATCAACTGGCTTTCCAGCCTTAAACAAGTCCTCCATCGGAAGCCTGTCTCTCTCTGTACATTTAATCACATTTAATGCTAATATATGTTACCGTCGTTGTAACTTTACATTTACTTTGAATATTTATTTATTTAATTACTCTTCCTTACAATACTAAGTCCAAGTTTATTATCCATTTATTGAGTTAAATCAGTATTTTCATTGATAGATGCTACATGGGGTTTTGGGGTTTTGGGG